GACCCCGTGTTCCAAATGCATTCGCCTCCCCGGCCACCCCTCTGGCTCCTCCTCGCTGCCCCAAGGAGACCCCTGTCTCACTGCCGTGATCGGGTGTCCCTGGGATCTGTGGTGTCATCAGTGCGCTGGAGAGGTGCGTGTCTGTGCATGCCTGTGTGTTTGCAGGAACGTGTGTGCAAGGGGGTGCCATCCTGAAAACATCTTCACTGGTGGCCCATGGGAGGCCCCATCAGTGCCACCTTCTACCCAAGAGCTGGGAGATCAGAGGGCCCAAGCTCCACAGCAAAGTGCTGAGCTAGACCAGCAGCAGACCAGTCTTATCCTGGAGAGAGGGGCCACCAGCATCCGCATCTCATGAGCAGATCGCAGGGTGCCAGCAGCCCCTTGCAGGGCCCAGGGAGCATCCACAAAACCTAGCAGCACCCAAAGGTGCAGAGAAACAGGGCTCCGATCCCCAGAGCTAGGCTGTCTCAAGGCCTTTGCTGTACCCAAGAGGCACCACAGGCATATCCTTCTCCTCTGCACAGAGCATGGCTCGCAGGAGACTGGAGGTCAGCGCGGGCCTTTGGGAGCTGGATTTTGGCTGTTTTTCCCTAAAGGGCACGGGAACCTTTCACCAAAACATGACTTCATCCAAGAAACCAGGTCAAACTGGAAAAGTGGTGTGGAAAAAACCTTTTATGAAGGCCAAGAGCTCCCTGTGTGCTGTCAATTTTAGTGATCTCTGACCCAGTGTGATTTAAGAGATATGATGGCCACCTCGAAGGATTTGGGATCTCCTCAGCAGTAAGTCCTTTTTTGTTCCTGCCAGGTTCTGCTTTGTTCATGAAACCCTCCTGAAAGTTGATGTAAAGGATGCACTCGCTCTGCAAAATGACCTCGTTTGGTTGCCCTGGGACCTGGGTCACTTCTGTTTCTCAGTGAGACTATGCACCATGCACGAGGAGGAAACTGAGATACTGAGATGCAGTGTATCCTCTGCCTCTGAGGTAACACAATAACAAGATACTCGCGCTCAGCAAAGTACTCCAGAAAACCCTGCAACCCATTCCCTCCTGTGCTGTCTGGGACCAAGAAGTCCCTGGGAACCACACTTGACCCTCTTTGGCTTTTCCTTATCTAGAAAGCACTGACAGAGACTGAAGAGACTATCCTGGCCATGGGCACTCATCCAAGATGGAAGGAACATGGGAGAGAAGCAGAGATGTGGTGCAGGGATGGCTCCAAGGGGCAGAAAAATCTGCACTGCTGAGACCTCCTGACCCCGACATGCATCTGATGGTGCACACATGGACCCCAGCATACTTCCATCTGGCCATCATGGCTCCTGTTCTTTCTCTCTGCTGAAGCACCAGCAGGCTGAGCCATGACAACGGAAATGTATTTAATGGGAGGCAGAGCATGGGAGGCCACAGTCCAGCGGAGATCCAGAGCACAAAACACAAGGTGCTGGTGGAAAACGAGATGTGAGCCTCTGGTGGAGACGGACAAGACTTGAGGGAGACCAGGAGCACACAGAGCAGGAACACACTGCTTGACCCAGGGCACTTTTCATGTCTCAGTGCCGCTCCTGCAGCAACCTTACCTCCACCCCTTGGCTGGTTGCACTCACCCATGTGGCTGCTGCCTGCCTGGGAATTGCACGTGCACCTCTGCCTGCCTGCCTGCAGGAGCACACAGGTGAGACGCATACACGCAACTGCAGAGTGAGCATCTGTTTACAAACTGATACACGCAACTGCAGAGTGAGCATCTGTTTACAAACTGGTGTCCACCCAGGCAGGCGAAGGGCATGCAAATATCTCGTTGGCCTCTGCAGAGTAGTGAAGTCCCAGAGGTGGACACGCACCAGCTTTTGTGCACGCTACTTCTGGCCACATCTGCACTCCAGCTTGGAAGACAATACTGCCACCCGCTCCTCCTGAGTGACACAGGTTGAGTCTGCAGAGGGGTGCAAACGGTGAGCGAAAAGCCAGGAGCTGCTTTGGCTGACGGTGCAAGGCAAGGACTGCATCACTGCATCTCATGTTGCACCAGCAGCTCTGCACTGGATGCATCAGGCTGGCCTGGGGTGCAGAACGTAGGACATTTGCTAAGTCCTGCAAGAAGGAGCTGCTGGGGCCATAGAAGACATGCACTAGGGCCTGGCTTTGAGGGAAGAGGGTGTCCAGGCTGGAGGCAGACCCACACACAGGGACGGCTTCCTGTCAGGGCAGGACCAGGACTCCACAGCAGCCCTGGGCAGTCCCCAGAGGGCAAAGCTCAGAAGGAGATGGGGGAAAGGAGCACCGAAGGAAAGAGGAACTGGGCAGTCCCCAGAGGGCAAAGCTCAGAAGGAGATGGGGGAAAGGAGCACCGAAGGAAATGGCTCTGGGGTGGGTCCCACAGAGCCACAGCTGTGCCCCTCGCCATCTTCCCTCCCTTCCCTAGTGGGGCCTGAGGGATTGGGACCCAGAAC